GTAGCCTCTTCTCAAACAACATCTTGGCATCTCAATTGTGGTCCTGCTTTCCTTTTACTTACTCCATTTTGTTCAATTCTGTAAGGAACTATTAGTTGATGAAAATTCCAGCATGTTAATACAATTTCTCGAGCTTCTCGTTTGTTATCTAATCTCAAAGTTCAAATCTTTTCCATACTTTGATCTTCTACCAAAGCGTTAAAACTCTTGAATGAATCAAGCAAGATCAGATTTCTGCTTTATCAAGTACTCCCAACACAACCTTGTGAAATAATCAACAAAAAAAGTCAAGAGATATTTATTCCCACTCAAAGAGCTAGTGCTCATGGGAACGCACATCAGTGCGGCAAGCTGTAGCTTTGTTGTGGGTCTCCAAGCTTTATTTTTTGGGAAATCAAACTTGCTTTGGTTTCCATGCTCTTACACTTCAAAACACCAGCATTTTTCTTGATTTCAGTTATGTTCTATACAGGAACTTTTCTATGTAGATCCTTGAGAGATTGTAGATCACAATAACCAAGCCTCCAATGCTACAAATCATCATCTTCCACAACTCCTACATGTGCTTATACATGATTCCATTCCAAACTAAAGCTTCTATTTTTCATCTTCAGTCATCAATTCTTGGCCAGTCGGGCCATGTATTATGCATGTATCCTCCTCAAACACTAACGAATACTTCTTCTCTTAACATTTATCTAACAAAACAAATTTTGATCTAATTTAGATACTAAAAGAACATTAAAAATTACTTTTAGTACATATTGGAGTCATTATTAGAATGTCTCCCTTGGCTTCAACTTCCAAGTATTCTCCATTGCTAATTCTGACTTTGGAAGCATAGGTTCTGTCCGACCTTCAACCAGTCCTTGATCATGAGTCATATGATGACTACACCCACTATCAATCAGCCAAGAGCCAATATTGATGTTGGTTGAGTAACAAGCAGCCACAGACAACTTCTCCTCGTGTTTTTCTTTGTCTTCTACAACTTGAGTCTTCACTCCGCGTTGCGTTTTCTTGCCTTCGCATACTTTTTCCACATGTTCAAATGCCTTACAAAATCTGCACTGTCCAAATGCCTTGTTGTGCTCTTGTTTCTCCATCTTTGCTCTTAGTTCTGCTTCCAGCCATATTTCCTTGAGTTTTGACTTTATTTCACCGCCAAAACTCCTTCCCCGGCTTCATCTATCCTCAATGATCTTCTTTGCTCGGTTGATTGTAATACACTCACCAATTCCACCAAATTCATCTTGGAAAAATCTTTTAGATTCTTCAAGAGAGGAAATAATTTTAGCCTTCAAACCTCTCCGGAAGACTTACAAAAACCTTCTCCAACACCCTTTCATCCCTTCACTCTTCTCCAAACAACTTCACTTGGTTTACAACCTTCATCATATCCGTGAACTCATATACTCATTCTGAATCACTCATCCTAAGGACTTCAAACTCTCTCCTTAGGTTGAGCATTTGCATTTGCCTTGTCTTCTCCCTTCCTTGGAACTCCTCTTTGATTCTGTCACGAGCGTCTTTGCCCGTCTAACATGACATAATCCTTACAGATATTGCTTCGGGCACAGCCAAGTGAATGAAGGAAAGGGCCTTGTACTCCTTTGCCACTTCCTCGGCATGATGCTTCATTTCATTCACAGTTGGGTTTTCTCTTAAGGGAGGAGGATCTTCTCCAACTTCAACAGCCTCTCATAGATTCATTCCCTTCAGAATAGTCTTCATTCTAACAGCCCAAAGCTGATTATTTTTTTCCATTGAAAATTGGCAGAGATGCTTTCAGAACTACTCAAAGCCATGTTCAAAAAGTTTTCATTTTTGGTAGTTTTGCTGCAAGAAAATTTTCTGGTTTTAGGTCCCTCAAAGAGTATATAAGATCTGATACCACTTGTTAGCTTTATGTATCATTTGGTACCGGATGCATGTGTTTCTAAAAGAGCAGAAAGAACAAAATCTGCAGACGACAAATGTATGTAAAATGCAGAAAAACAAAAGAAGAAGATGCGGCAGGAAGTGTAGGAGAAGAAAAAATATGTGAAGCTTGAATCTCAATCTTCTTACATTCAAAAATAAGCTTAAATACTTCCATGCTGTCCATGACAGCTTCTACATTCTAGAAAAATTAAAAAAGAAAATGTTTTCTAAACTAACTTAAGTAGCATTCAATTAACATAAACATGCCAAAAAAAGCTTGTACATTAATACAAGCATCACACGACACATTATCCTCGAGACTAAAACCAGAGTTGTGAATAAAATACTTCTTGGTTGAAAGTAAAAACTGTCAATCCTTTTAACAGAAGTTAAAAACAAAATTACTCTCAACACGTTGATTTGAAATAAATTTCATGCTAATCTCTTAAAGACAAAATACCAGCTTCAACTAGTTTGCTTCATAATTTAATAAACACATATATAGAACATTTTTATTCAAAAGAAACTAGCGGAAAGCCTCACATTCAACTAAGTTCTCATAAATATTGGAGTTCTTATAACTCTTAAAAGGCTATCTACCGAGCTGGTTCTGCCTTGAGGTCCATAGCAACCCAGTAGCTATCACTGGTGACCACATTGCAATCAGAGGAAAATGACATGTTCTGCGCACGAGGAAAAACCACAACATGACTTGTGAATGAAGTATTATCTTCCAGAGGCAACTGACGTGCAGATTCTGCAGTTGTTTTAGCCAGTATTTGGTTACCAGAATCATCCACCACATCAGAGTTGCCATCTTTAGTCTTAGTTTGTTGATGACTGCTCGTTTCAGCCTTCTGAGAATAGTCTGAGATAGAGGTTACTGCATGAGAACAGCAGTGCAATATGAGTGACAATGATAAGGACATTCAACCGAGATAAAGGACAGCAGATGTGTGTGCTAGTGCGCAAGTGCGAGCGTGTACAGGCAAATAGTACAATGAATTTTCTATCTTTTTTCAGCAAAGGAAGAACCATCATAACAGAGAAAATTTGTTGAATAGTGTGACTTAAGATGCTGCAGATATTTCAGTTGAATGAATCAAGAATAAGTTACTTTCAAAGAGTCAAAAGTCAGTTACATTAAGTCCTATTCTTTATGCTATTCTTTTAGAAGATATTTTATGCTTTCGTGTAGCAGATTTCTCTGCAAATTTAGTTATGGATCTGCTGTATACATAGTTGATCTTTACGCTCAATAAAAATAGTTTTTCCTCCTCATATTTCCTTGTTATGTTCCTATCAACATCAACAAGTGGTATCAGAATATTTTAATCTTGAGGGATCTGTGAGTTAAAACGATGAAAAAACACAAACCCACAAAATAACTTTTCTTCCTTTATACACAAAACAGAACCTACAAACAGCCTAAGATGGAATCAGAACTTTCTTCTTCTTTCACTTCAATTTCACCACTGGTATTTGACAGAATAAATTATCAGATGTGGGCTGTCAAGATGGAAGCCTATCTTGACGCTAATGATTTATGGGAAGCTGTAGAGAGAGAATATGAAGTTCCTCAATTACCAGAAAATCCAACTGTTGCTCAAATCAAAATTCATAAAGAGAGGAAGTTAAGAAAATCCAAATCCAGATCTGTTTTGTTCACTGCTTTATTTTTAACAGAATAATGACATTGAAAACAGCTCACGAGATCTGGAAATTCTTGAAGCAAAATTATGAGGGAAGTGAGAAGATTAAAGGGATGCAGGTGCTCAACCTATTTCAAGAATTCGAAATACAAAAAATGACGGAAGCAGAAACCATTAAAGATTATGCAGAAAGGCTTCTCTGCATTGCCAATAAAGTAAGACTTCTTGGCACTGAACTCTCTGACTCAAGAATAGTTCAAAAAATTCTTGTTACTGTTCCTGGGAAGTTTGAAGCAACATTACTTCTCTCGAAAACTCAAGAGATTTGTCAAGCATTACCTTGGCAGAATTATTAAATGCACTGCAGGCTCAGGAACAAAGAAGACTCATGAGGCAAGAAGCTTCTGTAGAAAGAGCTTTGCTGGCCAAATCTCAGAACAATTATGGTGGCAAGAACAAGAAAAAAAATCAGAACAACAAGAAGTCAGAAAAATCAAAGAACAACAATAATAGCAGCAAATCTTCTCAAGACTTCCCACCTTGTCCTCATTGTAAAAAAAATGAACCATCCACAAAAGAAGTGCTGGTGGAGGCAGATGCAAAATGCAACAAGTGTAGTCAGTTTGGGCACATGGACAGGATTTGTAAGTCACAACAACAACAAAGTGAAGCAAAGATTGCAATTCAACAAACACAAGAAGAGCAGCTTTTTGCGGTGTCTTGCTTTGCCACTACGAGCTCCGTAGAAAGTTGGTTGATAGATAGTGGTTGTACAAATCACATGACGTATGACCAAGAACTATTCAGAGACCTAGACACAACCTTTATATCTAAAGTCAGAATTGGTAATGGAGCACGTATAGCAGTAAAAGGCAAAGGGACTATTGCATTTGAAAGTTGTGCAGATTTGAAACTCATCTCTGATGTTTTATATGTTCCTGAGATTAATAAAAAATTGTTAAGTGTTGGTCAGCTCCTGGAAAAGGGTTACAAAGTTCTTTTTGAAGACTAAAATTGCATGATCAAAGATGCGGAAGGCAGAGAGTTATTCAAGATTCAAATGAAAGGCAAAAGCTTTGCCTTGAATTTGATAGAAGAAGAGCAGGCTGCAGTGTACAAGGAAGAAAATGATACAATGCTTTGGCACAAAAGGTTGGGGCATTTTCACCATGACGCTTTGCTGTACGTGAAAAAGAATGATCTTGTGGAATGTCTACCTAATTTGGAAGATGAGTTACCTATGCGCATAGCATGTCAATATGGCAAGCAAACAAGGCTGCCCTTTCCGAAAAACAAAGTTTGGAGAGCATCATACAAGCTGTCATTGATGCATACAGATGTGGGAGGACCTCAGAAAACACCATCCTCGAATGGAAGTATACATTGCTTTCATTGATGATTATACTCGAATGTGTTGGATTTATTTCATGAAACACAAAACTGAGGTTGCTGACATATTTCTCAAGTTTAAAACTTGGTTGAAACACAAAGTGGAAGAAAAATGCAGATGATCAGGTCTGATAATGGAACTGAATATACATACACAAAATTCAACAAGTTTTGTGAAGATGCAGGCATTGAGCACCAATTGACAGCACCTTACACCCCGCAACAAAACAGGGTCGTGGAAAGAAAAAACAGAACAATAATGGAGATGACAAGATGCTTACTTCACGAAAAAAACTTGCCAAAAGAGTTCTGGGTGGAGGCCGCAAATACAGCAGTATTCTTGTTGAATAGATTGCCATCAAAAGCACTTACAGGCAAAACTCCATTTGAAGCTTGGTACGGCTTCAAACCAAAATTGCTAAATCTGAAAAATTTTGGTTGTTTTTGTTTCTCTTATATTCCTCAGGTTAAGAGAGACAAGTAGGATAAAAAATCAGAACAAGGAATTTTTGTAGGCTACAGCTCAACAACAAAAGCTTACAGAATTTATTTGCCGCAATACAACAAAGTGATTGTCAGTAGAGATGTGCAATTCTTTGAGTTAGAGAAGTGGAGCAAGGAAAATGAAAAGCAACTAGATATTCAAAACAAGAGTGATGATGATGTGGATGATCAACCAGTTAGAGGAACCAGACCACTCTCTGAAATTTATCAGAGGTGTAATGTTGCCGTAATGGAACCAGCATATTACAAAGAAGCCGCAACTGATCAGAAATGGATAGTTGCAATGAAGGAGGAACTCAACATGATCGAACAAAATCAAACTTGGGAGCTGGTGGACAGACCTAAAGACAAAAAAGTCATATGAGTCAAGTGGGTTTATAGAACCAAACTTAATTCTGATGGCTCTATAAACAAGCATAAGGCCAGGCTCGTTGTTAAGGGATATGCTCAAATGTTTGGGGTAGATTACTCTGAAACGTTTGCCCCAGTAGCTAGATTGGACACTATAAGGATGTTGTTGGCTCTTGTGCCCAAAAGAAGGTTGGATTATAT